AGGAAAAATCTGACATGAAGAATTAACTGGCAAAACTTTAAATTGGTTAAAGAGATGGCTTTTGGGTAGAGGTGAGTGTGGGGCTGAGGAGTAACTATTATAATAGTGAACTATGCCCCAGACAATAGACGAATAATCATATATAGAGTAAACCCATGAAACGTGAGGTATCTCTATGTGCCATCTGCACTATGGACTGAGTGACAGTGTGTTGTCATTGCATTTTCTCTTAGAGTCAACAGATGTACATCCTAATCAAAAAGTATAAATGCTGCTTTAAAATGGCATCTTATCCCAAGAAGCAAAATGTAGTTGAAGAGTATTGCATTGTATATACCTATACGATCCTTAGTGTGCTCTCTAACCACACTTTGAAGTCTTTAAGATGTTGAGTTATGAATATAAACTTCCAGCAGTGGTCACTATCTTCTGTTTCACCCTCCCAGAATGGATGGAGCATGTGCTAATTGCTCTGGCACTGGGCATTATGAAAGGCAGCATGGATAGGGTATGTGCTAATTGCTGTGATACTGGGTATTGTATGAGGCAGCATGGATGGGGTATGTGCTAACTGCTGGGACACTGGGCATTGTGTTAGGCAGCAGGGCATTGAATCCCGAGCTTTCCAGTCCTACACTTTTTACTTTCTTCCTTTATTTCACTGTCGTTTTTCTGGAGTCTTTGACAACTCATCAGCTGGGCACACCCACAAGCATGGATACCCTCAAGGAGAGGAGCCTACATGTTCCAGTTTCATTTCACATTAGTTATTGGCAATGTCATAGGTCAAATGATCACTGCAGATAAGAGCATTTGAGGCTTTCGTTTCTAAGATGGCTTTCATGGGATTCACAAGTTCTTTCTCAGGCACTAGAGAACAGGGGAACTGCTTGAAAGGACACTGGAAAACTTATGAGAGAAAATGCGAGGCAAACTTTTCTAGGGTAATGGGAATATGGGCTTTCGGTGTGGGATTTTTGTTTAGAAACAGGCAATAATGCAGTTGGAAAAAAGAACTGCAACTACATGGTATGAAATGAAAAAGGAGTAGATGTTTTATAATTGCATTCTTTTGGCTCAAGGGAATCACTGGATGCTAAGGAAATCATCACAATGTTAATTAAGGTGGCTATGAGGTACCTTCACTCCATAGGCAGAGACTGGGGCAATTGAGTTCAAGGACTTTAAAGCCTACCATATCTATGCCTTTATTTTCTGTGTCTTGAACAAGCCTGGGACATTACAATATTTCTTGAATGACTAGAGAAAATAATAGAACCCGAAGAACCTGAACATTAAGTCATCATAGATGTTTACTAACTTTATGACATTGAGTGAAGTTATCTACCTTCTCACAACCTGCCTTTCCTCATCTGTGAGAGGGGTGCAGGGATACCTTTCTTACAAAGTAATTAAGAAGATTAGATAGCAAAAGAAAAGGGATTCGAGGTGCATCTAGTATACAATAGATAAGTGTTAGCCATTAATAATCAAAATTAGAATCTCTCTATATAGTAGATTATAATTTAAACTCTCAACATAATGTAAGAAGCATTGGAAGAGGACAGGAAAGGGAAAGTTATTCAGTGTGTGCTGTGTCACAAATCTGAATATTGGAGAGAAAGGATGCATTTAGGCATTTAAATGCGTATTTACTATGTTTAAATACGTAAATCAGTAAGATGACTCCTTAAAATGCATGCTGAGTGACCTATCAATGCATTCTTCTAAACTGGTGTGTGTGTGTGTGTGTGAGTGTGTGTGTGTATGCTTGTGTACACGTGTGCACATATGTATATGTGTGCATGTGTTTATATGTGTATGTTTGTGTGTGTGTGCGTGATATTTTTAAACTATTTAAAACATCAACACAAGAAATATGTTTCAAGATGATATATGTACATCTACTAATGTCTCTACATTGGTGAATAAACAATAAATATTGCTGATAACTTGATCAATGCTGACACGTGAACACATGACAGACACTAAAGAATGTTTTCTGAAGGCAGGAACACTTTCTAAATCCATTATGACAGGGTGTTTTTAAACATATGTATGATTTCCATGTTTGAAACTTCTGGTAACCTGAATTCTTGAAATACTTAGTGAAAAACCATTACTTTTCAAAAGGTCTATAACAAACTATGTTCAAATCCTTAAGACTTTGATAATTAACTGTATGCCGTATGTTCCTATTCACCACATGTGACCTTTATCTTTCTGTCTCTAAGGAAAATCTGAGCCTAGCAATTTATTTCAGGATTTGCATTTGAACTGTGAACTCAATTGTCAGAAAAATGAGGGAAATCCAAGGATTTATACATGACAAATGCACTGTGGCTAAATAATGTCAAGAAACATCAAGGACATCAATGTGTGACTTAGAGACATTACTAAGGATGCAAAGAGGTTCTGTTTGCTGTGGTGTATTATTAGAAAATCATAAAGTCTAGCAAGGTTAAAAGGACTCAAGGTCATTGCAAATATATACAGACCATCTCATAAGAAATAGATCAGGAGAAAAAAACTTAATCAGATTAGAAGCACCATTTTTTAGAAGCACCAATGTTTGCATTCCAAAGTTTGAACCTTTTTTTCAGTAAGTTGCTAACAATTAAGCTTTGAATACGTCTTTTATTTTCTTAAACCATTCTGGTGTCACTGATGGCCATGCAAATTAAAACCTGTTGTGGGGTTACGGACATGATTCAATACAAACCTGTATATAAAACTTTATCATGAATCCTTGCCAGCCTGCTATATAGTTACTTGGGATGATGTCTTCACTGGCTGTCTCAGAAGGCCCATACCCTGGCAGTTAACATTCTATAATCATTTTATTAGATGATATTGTTTGGGAAAAATAAACTAAAGTAGCGTATGGAAATATTTAATGGAATTATACAAGGAACTTCTTGCTGCCAGGAAAATGCATCCTAAGGACCCTTTGAATAACAATATCCCAAAACCAGACTCAGATCTTTTGATAATTCAAGCATAATCTATAATAAGACAGGTTTGGGGCTAATTTTTAGCCCAAACCCAGACAGATAGGTTGAATAAACAGCTTCAAAGACAATACAACTTTCTAGAAGACAGGTAAGAATAATGGCACATCAAAAGACAAAATTAGAGTAGGCAGGGAAAAAATAATCTCTTAGTACCCAACTGAACTATAACAAATATATTTGTAAAAGAATATTATTTACAAAAAAGTAAAGCAGATGAGCATTTAATTTTACTTTTGGTGAAAGAAATGAGCCTAATGGTGTATTCACTCATTCAGCAGGACTATATTCCGACTTTAAATGTTCACTCACATCAAGTTAAATTGTATTTTTAATTCCTAATTAGCATTTAGAACAATGCAGTTTGGAAGCAATTGACTTTGTGTAACTTGCACAGGAAAAATTGATGGAAGGATTTCATTTGAATTCCATGAAAACTGATCCACTGTGTCACAACTGCAGTTCCCAAAGGATTTTATTCTGTAAAAGCTATGTGATTAACTCTACTTGTGTGTACAGCTCCCGAAAGAATTGAAGTGCAAAGATGTTCCTGGTAACATTTACTGGAATCTCATTAAGCTGATATATCTGCATTTGCCTATTAACAAAAAACATAATATCTGCATATTTATGTATATTATTTCTTAGTCTAATTTAAAAAAATTTTTGAACATGCACACATCAGTCATTTTTATCTGCTGGCTCAGTCTCCTCTGAATTGAATGACATTTTCTATCTGCTCTTTAAACCACAGGCTATCATCTTGACAACTCCTTTCTTTAAGAACCAACAAATTATCCTTAGTATATGACAAATGAAAGCAGATGCAAACTGAAAATACTCACTGTTTCATCTCAAGAGTTGAGCTGAGATAAAGGCAATAAGACTTTTCTGAAATAACTTAATAACTTTACATAAGGATAAAATGATTCCTCCATACAAGAAAACAATTACCAGCCAACATTAGTAGCACCAGAAAATGGTAAGCTAGAATGAGCAATAAAAACATAGCATTTGGAGTGAGATATTAGAGAGTAGCTATTAAAATATCTTACTCAATTTCTATTACACCTTAAAATGAAAGTCATCAAAATGTCATTACAAGCCTTTTCCCCAGATTCTTTAGTGATTTGAATCATTTCTGGAAATGGAGTGCTATCCAGGATTCCCTTAAAATCCTCTGAAATAACAGCAAAGCAAAACACAATGTGAAATTTATGACATCTTATATTACAACAATGTGCTCATATACGTACCTCGGTGTATTTGTCTTCAGATATCTACAATTAAATATTTCTTATGAAATTAATGATTCACAGAAGATGCTCCCTTCAAGAAGACCTGAGGCCAGAAACCCCAGCAAAGGGAGTCAGAGCTCAGCTCTGCAGAGCTGAAGCTCACAAAGCACACATGTAACAGTTGGAAAAAAAGGAAAACCGGTGGAAAAAATCAATTATTTCAAAATTATTTCAAGCCACCATGTGCCACTTAAACCAGGCAGCACAGAACTTCTGAAAGCTTCTCAGCTAAGAGCAGAACATGATCAGGAGTTGAACAACTCAATTAAACAATAAAAGCATCAGTAGCCTGTTTTGGAAAACTAGGACCCTGTAAGGAATTTTCAAGCTGGAAGAGATCTTTGACATACTGTAGCTCTGGCTAAAGTTTGATAGTTCTAACAATAAAAACTACACAACGTAAAGATTATTTTCAATGACACCCCTCCTCCCTCCCCATGGGGATCGACCCCAGCTCTCCATTCCCAAGGTTGAAAAGAAACATAGGAGGACCTGATTGCACTTGGTTAATAAAAGCTAGGCAGTCTTTTGCAAATGACTAACAATAAAATTCTAACTGGTTCTCTTCAAACCTAACACGCTAAAAGAAAACTATTCAAATTTTAAATACTCATATTCAGAAAACAGTTTCCCAATGCTCCTGGTAAAGCAGTGTTTGAAAAAAAAAAAACGGTGATATTTTTTCCTTTACCTTTCAGTTCGAAGAGGGCGTCACTTCTCCTGGATCCCATTTTCTGAAGGATAGTCAGTGCTGGCCGATTAAGAATAAAAACCATTAGCATATTGCTTTAGAAAAAAAAACCTACCAAGCCTCTTTGAGAAGAAAACTAACGGTGCTAGTGGCAATAGATGCCTTTCCTGATTCCTTTTTCTCTTTCATCTTATTCGCAGTGTCTGTTGCCCAAAGCATCCATCAATTAGCAGTTTTTAAGGGAGTAGAACTGTGTTCAGGCTCATCTGCTGAACGGGGCTGTGTGCTCCGTAGCCTCTGCATCTCCCAGCCGCCTTTCTAACAAGGGTCCAGAAAGCAAGCGATCGGGGATCATTCAATAGCACACAAACACTACGTTCCTGGGAATTGCCGGTATCAGACCCAGCAACTTTCCCTCTAAGAGTCCAGCCGAAGAGTACCGGTCCCTAGGTCCCTAGCGCGGAGGCACAGCTCGCCCGCCCGAGTGTGCTTCAGCGCTAGAGCAAAGCAATGCTCACCCGGTCAGGGGAACTAGGACTGACTTACTGGGTCCTGATGAATGCGGCTAATGGCGAGGCAGCCCCAGCTGAAAAAGAGAGGACAGCAAAGCACCCTTCCCGCTCCCTCTGTCCACCTACCCTCTCATCATGCGACTCACAAATGAAATGCTAATAGACTCGAGGACTGATGCCAATTTCCTGCACTTTGCTCAGCGTTTCCGCGGCCCCAACACAATAAAAGATAGCTGTTTGTGGAGAATGTCTTGTTCCATACCATTAACTCCGAACAAAACATATTTTTAGTGGGACAGCCGTGTTTACTCGTAAGAACTGATGAATTGTTCTGCACCATATATCACCCACACACAAAGATGTTCAACTACAGTTTTGGACATAAATCAAGGTACATGCTCCTCAATTAAAAATAAAATAAAATAAAGATCTGCTTAAGTCCCTCAAACCACAAAGATTGAGGTCAGGTTGACCATAGCAACCACAAGCAGAACTTGGGCTTCCAGAAGGACCTAGCAACCGATAAATGAGTTCGGATCTCTTTTCATCTCCACTGGTGTGAAAGCCAAAATTAAAAAGATTAGATCACCCTGCACCCATCACAAAAGGTACCACAATGAAAAAGTCATTTCCAGCTTCTGAATCGTATCAAATAAATAACATTCATCCTTGCTATAATGAACAACTTTCAAAGTAAATTGAATCTCCATAGCCTCACTTTCTCTGGCCGAACAGTATTTACATAACAATATATCATTGGAAGACCTGAATGGATCTTGTAAATGCAGAGCTGGGGATAAAAACATCTTTAGCCCAGATTACTGTATGTTCAGTCTGCTTTGCAGTGCCCCTCATATAAACAGTGTCTTGCACCATGAACATAAACAATGTTTTTAAATTGTGGGAAATGAAAGTTCTTAGGTACCTTTTAAAATGCCTGGACTCACCCAGTGAACTACCATTTGTGGAGCAAGAAAGAACATTAAAAAAATCACTTACTGCCCTTAACCCACGCTCTAGACTCATTTTGTGACAAAGAATTTTCACCTGTGTGGATGGATCCTTGCCTCTTTGTTCATACCAGCAATCTTTGGTCCTAAATAGCTGCTGAGTTTTTACATGGTACTTAAGATTAAAACACATTTGAAGATTTTTTTAGCACGTGTCTCATTCATCATTTGCTATTTCCTCGAAAGTCCAAGACACCCTCCATTGTCATGACAATAATGTCTGTGAAATCTTAGGAATGTCTTCACACACACAGTGTTCATCTTCAGCAGCCTAACTGAGTCTAGATGTCCCCTGATCACTAAACAATAAATTAACGGCTGGTCTCCAAATCACATCAACTCCCAGAAACTGTTGTACCCTGCATATGTTTCAAATGGCTTGTATTCAAAGTAAGACAGCCAAGTCTAAGGCAAAAATATGCCAGCCTAATCTTACTTCTTTGTGGAGGCTCACATAGATATTACTATTTGAACTCCACGGGGAATCTCATTAATTTTTAAAACTCTCTGACCTCAGTACAGTTGAGTGTAAAAATTATTACAAATTAAGAATGAAAGAACATCACATGAATTCTGTACAGCCATATGCTCCGCCTTGCACAAAACGTTACTATCGTCAAACAGAAATTCTTTTTTAACAGATATAGATTTAAACAGCATGATACATGTCACCACACAGACTTAAAAAGCAGCCCACCCTTCCTCCAGCCCTGCTCACACCTCACCTCTGAAGATTCTAGTAACACAAAGCCCTGTGTGAACACCGGCAGGTTCCATAGGCAAGGGGCAGCAGAGAAGGTAACCCCCCTCTTGACAATATTTACCTATAGAGGCTTCCTTTCTTAAATCACACACGTCCCTCTCAGTCACAAAGATACAGAAATGTAAGAACTGTATACAAATATTTTCTTACCTAAAACTTGTTAGAAGAATGTTCTTGTTATTGTGGTCACCTCCTCCGGTTCCCCCTCTTGCCATCATGGGAATTGGCTCCGATGTGTTGGTTACTCTGTGCCTCAGTTACAGCTGTGATACTCATCTGCCTGCATTGAACCTATGAGGGGAAATGAGAGAGGAAGGGTGGCAGAAAGAAAATGAGAGAATGAAAGAGAGAGAGAGAGAGAGAGAGAGAGAGAGAGAGAGAGAGAGAGAGAGAGAGAAAAGGCTCTACAGAGAGACTAAGAGAGAGAGCAAGCACAACAGCTGACTTCAGCCCAAGAGCCTAAAACCTCTAGTCAAGTGAAGCCAGGACAAAAATGATCAAAGCTTTGTCTTTCATCAACGGACTAGACAGCTATTTCTTTTTTTCCTCCTCTGAAAAGTAGGACTGTCATTGGGGATTCTCACCAGGAAGGCGCAGACAGAGGCAGACCTTCTCCAGAGTGCTAGCGCTGCCCAGCAGCCCGTGCAGAATACAGGTACCTATTGTTCCAGAGACAGATATGTAGCCAGCCAGTCAGCCTCTGACAGATCTCAGCAAACCAGCGAGCCTGCCTTCATTTTAACTCCTTCTTTACTAGTGCCTTTTTGCTGAGAAGCACAGGTCTTCTCATCACCCCTGAGAAATAACTGGGGCTGAGGCTGATGATCTCAAGGCAGGAACTAAGCCTGCTTCTTTCACAAAGAAGGACTTTAGCTACTAGTCCTGAAATTTGTATTTAATGGCAAATGTGTCTTCTTTTTTCTGGGAAGAAATAAAGTGTTAGATGACAACAGGGAGACAGCGCATAAGAGAAAAACCATGATGTGCAACATGAGCAGGGCTGTCTATTTAATAAAGAAGATGAAAATTGAGGCTATTTCAAATACCCTGACATTAAATACATATGTCCCAGCACAGATGAGGTCCCCTAAATCAAGAGGGTCCCAATCTTGAGTGCAGGGGTAAAGCCCATTTAAGACATTCCCTAAAAAAACCAACCCCTAGTAAATCTGTTTCCCTAGGAGTTGGACTCTTTTTGGTTCCCCTGACCCACATGTGTGTGTATGTGTGTGTGTGTGTGTGTGTGTGTGTGTGTGTCTGTGTGTGTGTGTGTGTGTGTACTCAACTACTTTCTCAAGAATCCCCTTAAGTATCTCTCATCTCCAGTTCCTGACCAATGTCTAAATCGTGCAAACTTACAGAAGCTAGGAGAAAAAAAATGACCTGATTCCCGATTCTCCTTGGTGGGTCTGAAGAGCCAGACAGGACCTTTGATTGTTTACATTTCCGAACCTCAACAGACCATGCTGTGTTCTAGTTTTCATCTGTGTGTATCAACTGAATGTTTTTCCTACATAGGTGCAAACGGAGACCTTAATAATGGAAAATGGGGAATAGAATAAAAGTAGCTTGTCACGGAGTTAAGATAAGAGGTGAACAAGCAAAGATCCATGATGTCCCATCTATTTTCTCTAGAATGAACACCATTCATTGTCGCCAGGATTAACCCCAAGGAAAACTGCGCATCTTCTGAAATAGTAGGTGTGCTGCAGAAAGCCGAGATGATTATGACATCCCTTTGTAAAATCCACACTCAGGCATCACTTTACAAAGCCAGAGGGCAAAGACTCAGCATCAGAAGGAGGTTTAGTCCTCATGGCTGTTAATGGTAATGAGACATATAGAACACAGCCATGTACTACCGAATACTTAGGGTTTGACTTGTTTATTTTTAAAGGCAAACTAGTACTAGATTCTATCAGAGTGTTTTAGGAAACTCTTCATGGGGATGGGGGCACTAAAAAGTACAGTGTCTTTTGTCCTAAATCCCAGCATTTTGAAACCAGTTCAAGTTAGGCTGATTTAACTAAGACTGAGCAATTAATGCAGGATTTGGAAACCCAGAAGTGAAAATTGCCTAACTTGTGACATCTCAAAAAGCCACCTAGGGCTCTTTGATCGGAGGGATGTCTATTAGACCCAGGATGCCAGCTGACTTCACCTGGGTAAAGAGAAAAAGTACAAACATTTCCTTATGAAACACATCGAAAATTAACATAGAAGCCGAGAAGGAAACAAGACGTTGTAGCTCATTTCCTCCCTGTTCATAATCTGTTTTCCCCCCAAGCCCATTTTAAAGACTGTGTTCTCTGTGTGGTCAATGAACAATTTTGTTCTGACTCTCCGGATAGCAAAATAGCAGAAGTCCATTCAATGGGAGCAAAGAAGGTCAACTATAGGACCTTCTACAGAAGACCCCTGGATCTCAGCAGAGGTGACACCTAGTCCCAGCTCTTTGTGCTGCCCCTAAGGCTGCAGTTTAGAGGGGACATGTAGCTTCTCACTCCTGAGCACATGAGAAGACTTAAGAGTAAGTGCCTTTAATTAGAGCATTACCCAGTCCCCAGCCAGATGTTATCTCTTATGCCCTGCCCCTTTTGATCTTTCTGTTTCTCCTCTGTTCTCTCCAGAAAACTGAGCTTTGGTCTGCCAGCCTAGTTTTAAATATTCAGCTCTTAACATGTTCTCACAGTCAGGGTGCATCGTTTTCTGGGTGCTTGTGAAGAGGGCTAGCAACATCAATGGGAGTCATGCACAGGGAAACACACACAACAGGCATACTACGGAGAGTGTAGGCACATATGTGTGGCTGTTGTGCATAAATAGGTTTCAGTGTTTGTGAAGGGTACACATTTTTATATGCTTTGGAGTAGGGAAGTAATATTGGTAGTGTTTTTTTCTGTGAATTTCCTACTAGGATGCCTGTGTTATCCTACAATCCATCAATATAGCTCTAAGTTTATAATTCACAGCCATCACCAATTTGCCAAATAAGTCACTTCAAGTAAGAAAGAGTTTGGCAGAACGTGCCAACTGTTTTTTATTCGAAAGAAAAAACAAATTGCTGTGTGCTCGGTGTGTAAAGTCTAAACACAGGAGAGTATGGGACCAGGGGTCCTCAGGGTCCTCTGATACTTGATACTGGGTATTAACTCTTTATGTCTACGTAGCTGGATCTTAGAGACCCAGATGGAGTTTTCCAGAAGAGATGTGCAAGGAAACATAATGTCTTCATTATATTAGGGAATATTCCAATTTTTTAACCCTCCCAAACATGCCACAGTCTCATATAGTTATTCATTCACACAATAAACCCACGCTGCTGTGACTTCTGAGAGACTCTTTGGGAATGCTGTAAGTAGCTCAACTCCTGTAAAGTTAAAAAAAATAGTCTCTCCACCAAATTAAACATTATCTAAGTTCTCCATGCAGCTATTATATACACAGAAAATAACTTCTGCTCACACTCTATAAATGGCTTAGATTACATATTAAAATTCTAATTAGAAGTCCCCATCTTATCTACGTTGGCTGATTTGAGATTACAAAGTAAATTCTAATTTGGAGTGAAAACTTGTGAGGAACGATGATTTCTGATGGGTGCACATTAATGGAAAAATTGAAGAGATTTTGTGATAGAGAGAAAATTAAAACAATGAACAAATTCTGAGACTCTCTTTAGACCATGGATAGTTGGTGTCCTAAGATCTCCTGGTGACTTCCTCTCCCCAGAACCTTGCTCTCTTGAAAGTTAGTGAAAGCTAACATTTCCTCAAGACACAAGGGGGAAGTATTGGCATAAGTGACAACTATGTACTTCAGAGAATATGTAATAAAGTATAAACCAAGGCGTTGCAGGATTTCAGATCCAGAACAGGTTGGTTACCTGGGTTTCCATTTAATTCGTAGTTAGATAAAAGTATTGTTTCTGGGAGTTTTGTTGTAAAAAGTCATAGATAATTTAATGGAAATATTAGGAGGTATCTGACCCCCCTCCAAAGTGTGCAGTCTTTCTAGTAGGAGCAAAATTACACATTTTCCCTCATTATTCTTTCACTATCCTGTGATTTGATCTACTTTGTGGCTTAGCTGATCTATTCCTTGCTCTATCGTTTAAATGAGATAGCTACTTGGCTTTAGAAAAGCCCTGTGAGGTATTTTTATTCATCAGTTAGTAATCAGTAGGATATTTTGAAATAATAGCACACTCTGCCTTCCTTATTCTACAATAGCTGCTGGAAGTCAAGTCAGTGAACACACACACACAGGGAAGAGAATGTTAATACTTTGAGTGGCAGCAAAAGGAAAGCATTTGCATTGTAGCATGTGTAAATGAAACAATATGTTGTTCTGTGTTCCTGTAAATGTGTTCCCAAGTACTCTCAGACTTCCAGCACAATGAATAAGAAGTCAACATGAAGCTGACTGATGAGAGTTGATACCCAACACAAAAGCATTTCACAGAAGTTAGGAAACTCCCACAAGGGGATTAAGGGAAAAAATGTAAAAGATTTCACTACATTTACTTTGCATCTCTGCATAGTCCTTTTAAAAATAGAACAATCTAGAACAAGCATTTCCTTTAGGGACTCCAATTTTGGAAGTTTTTCTTAATAGAAAACCCATTATCCTATAGTCAGAGCTATGAGTAAAATAGGACCAACCTAGCTTCGCCAAGCAAGAGCTTTATAGCAAGTGGTGGTGTCCTAAGAGAGGAAGTGCCTCACTCATGGGATGGGCTCCAGTCTTAACTTTCTGTCCCATCCAAATCCTTTGCTAAACGTCGGAATAAGATGTGATTTATTAATATGTTGAAGTCATTACAATCTGAACCAAAATGTTATCGGACATTTCCCTAGCCACTACTGTTTAAAGAAGTCTTTAAAAAACAATTTCATTTCCTTCCACCCAGTCAAGTTTTCTCCACAGATAATTGACTTTCATTATGTGCACAGAAAGCATCAGTGAATCAGTGTGCATGAGACATTTAAATATTCTCAAATGAAAGTATGTCTGTATTTATGTTCGGGTGCCCAAACACACTCTCATTTGATTCTGTGTAACTGGTCATTAACACTCCTCTAACATAAGAGAAAGCACCCGTGGAAACCAGAAAGGCCATATAAACAGCCGAGTTTGTCATTAGTAGAGAGAGATGTACAATAGTAAGTGGACTATTTTAAGCAAGTTGCTTACAGAGCTGTGTGTCCTCCCTAATAATCATGCTGATTTTTGGTAGCCTCCCTTGTAGAAAAGTTCTGTCTTGTTCTCTGACTGTATCTTTACTCCTAAATATTCTTTTATGATTTGGGGCCTTACCTCAGGTTGCTCTCGTCATCCAAAGTGTGTTTGAGATGCTAATGTGTGATTACTAATTGTTCATAAGCACCTTGAAACACTAGATTAGAATGTTTCTAACTGTCTAAATACAGCATGGCAACATGATATCAATCAACATGTACATAAGTCTCTGACAATTCAGTGTATCCCCACTGTAGTAAAATTGCCATAAACTTTTTAAAAAACAACAGGTACTACTGCCTAAGAATTGATTTCATGAAACAATACTGTAAACATTGGCAAAGCAAGCATAGTCACCAGACAGTTCCAAAATAGAGTCTACTTACTTGAATATCCATCTTCTGAATTAAGAGTCCATTTTGAAGTTGAAGGATTTCAGTTTTTGAGAATTTTTCCATGTCCTCCTG